CAGATTCGGTTCTTGCAGACGTTGTAATATGCGGCACGACACATTGCTGCATGTTACCAGCGCCTTTGAAAATTCTGAAAATTCCAGTGGCGTCCCGTCAAATCAAAATAACAATTCTTCGAAGGAGCAAAGTCGTTCTACCGAAGCAAATAAAGTTGTATTATCTTCTTCCTTGTTAGAAACAAGTGAAATTTTGCTTTCTACAGCCAGCGTAGAAATTTTTGATCAATTTGAAAATGTTCACATCATACGCGCTTTACTAGATTGTTGTAGCCAATCGAGTTTTATTTCAGCTGATCTTGTAGACCGTCTACAGCTAGACAAATCTAAGACTACTGTCACCGTCTCAGGTCTAAATAATTCAACACCAAACATTCTACACAAATGTGATGTTTTTATTCGCTCTATGAACGGAATCTTCAGTTCAAATCTTTTGTGCTTGGTTTTACCTGAAATTACGGGCAATTTACCAAATATCAAAATAAACAAGACTGCCTTGGATATTCCAAGAAACATTCATTTTGCTGATCCCAATTTCCGTACACCTGGCAAAATTCAATTATTGATAGGTCCGGTGGAGATCTCACCGGTCAAACAAATGTCTGGGGAAGACCGTGCTTGCGAAGAACATTTGATGCACAACACGGTACGAAATGAAAATAACCGATTCCTGGTTTCACTACCTCTAAAGCAATCAGTTGATTGCTTGGGCGACTCCGTTGATTTCTATTTCTTGAAAAAAGACTCGAGCGTAGAATCTCGCTAAAACTTCAATACGTTTCCTTTATGCAGGAATATCAGAATTTGGGCGCATGTCACTTATTGAAAATCTACATTCTCTTAAAGACATGGCTTATTACATGCTACATCGCGGCGTTCTAAATTGTAATAGTTTAACCACTTAAGAGTAGTATTTACTGCATCAGCCCCTACTTCAAATGGCATATTACTAAACGACATCCAGTTAGTGGATCCTACTGTTCAAGACGATCTACTACCATACGAGCTGAACACAGTAACGTATGGTCAAAATTCTTTCTTAACTATTCGATGTTTATTCGAACTTGCAAATCAATGCGAAAACGAATATCCTAAAATCTCGAAAATTGTAGGTCATGATTTCTATATCGACGATTTGCTAACAGGGTCTGACACTATTGAAGAAACTTCACATATTTGTAAAAATTTAACACAAATTCTAAAAGATGCTTGTTTTGAATTGCGCAACTTTAGATAATTCCAACATTTCCAATAACCTTTTAAATTTCAATCAAATCAAAACCCAAAAACTCTTCTTCTAATTTGGAATTGTGTTTTAGACAAACTAACGTTCAAAATCAATGCATGCGATGGAAAAAATCCAGTTACGAAACGTGTTATTTTATCGCAAATAAGTCAAATTTTCGGTAGACTTGGTATTTTGTCACCTTGCACTGTAATTGCAAAAATCATAATTCCAACATTGCGGCTGGAACAACTAAATTGGGACGAATCCATCCCACCTAGCATATACACAACATGGACAAAATTTCGATGCGAACTTTCAAATTTGAACAATCTTGAAGTACCCCGATTTGCTTTGTATGATGATCGAATCAACGTAGGAATTCATGGCTTTTCAGATGCCTCGCAGTTGCAAAAGCAAAAGCATCAACTCGCACGGTACATGCATCAATCTTTTACTTGCCATATCCGATAAAAACATTAATTCTTCCTCGCTTGGAGCTTTGTGCTGCTCTAGTTTTATCCAAGCTAACAGAAAAGGTAACGTCTTTCGCTCTAAGCATCCAAGATTCATCTCTATTTGAACGATATTCAAACTTAAATTTACTGATTCGATTAGTAGCTTACATACATCGTTTCAAAAATAACCGTTTTAAACTAAAAACGAAGCGTTTTTGCGATAGATTAACCCAATTGGAAATCAATAATTCGTTGTTAAGGTTTATTAAGGTTTATTAATCGGAAAAGACATCCACACGAAAAGTAAAATTCTAAGTTTAAGTCCATTTATGGACGAAGACCAAGTCAGAAGAGTCGGTGGTAGATTAGATCGTTAAAATTTTAAATATGACAAGAAACATCCAATTCTACTTTCCACAAAGCACAGACTGTCCACATTAATTTTCGAAACAGATCATTTGCGTATGCTACATACAAGTCCCCAAATTTGAATCATGTTCAATCCGTGAAAAAATTTGGTCTGTAGCAGGACGAAATCTTGCAAAGCAAACCGCTCGAAAATGCATAATAATAATAATGTTTTCGCGCTAAGCCACAATTATTTAGATAAAGATTGGTAATTTACTAAGTACCCGATTTTTAATTGACACGCTATTTTATGTGGTAGGCAGGGATTACGCTGCTCCATTTTTAATTAAAAGTCACAAAGGTCGTTCTTTTAAATTATGAAAATGCTACATTTGTTGATTCATTTGTTTCATTTGTTTGAAGCTATCCATTTTTAACTTGTGTCAGATTTGAGCAGTGATCCTAGCTTTAAGGCGATTTGTGTCTAGTTGTGGTAAACCGTCAATTATCTACTCAGACAATGGTACAAACTATGTAAGTGCCAAAAATGATCTCAAGGCATTAGGAAATTTTCTAGTATCTCAAGGTAATTCTCTCGAAGATTCTATTCCTCGCGAAGGTATTGAGTGGCGATTCATACCGCCCAATTGACCGCACTTCGGAGGCCTTTGAGAGGCTGGCATTAAAAGCACCAAATATCATTTAAAACGGGTAATGGGTAATGCAAGCTTAACATTCGAAGAATTTTATTCGTTGTTTGTGCAAGTAGAAGCTATTCTAAATTCAACACCACTTTCGGCTGTCTAATTTTCAAAGGTTTCAACAAATCCAGCAACATTTTTGAACTGGATGAAGCAACGAGTATATATCCAAACTTCAGCAACGAAATCTATGGAAAACTAGTTCCAATGAACTTAAGGAGGGTGCTCTGATACTTACCAAAGAAGATAACTTGCCACCTCTCCAGTGGAAATTAGGCAGAGATTTATCACTGCGTCCCGAGCGGGACAATCAATCCAGAGTGGCGACAATCCGCACCTCGACTAAGACCATCAAGAGGGCTTTCACAAAAATTTGTCCTCTACCCATGAAGGTAGATACTTCATGCAATGTGTAGTGTGTGAATCGAAGCAGAGTTAGTGCTTCTCGCAGTGTGTTGTTCAGTTTTTTTTTCATTTTAACTAATCCAGTTAGTCAAGGGGGAGTTTTTATTATTATCGTTGTGGCAGTAATGTAGAACTACGTAGAAATACGTTCTTCCATATTCTTCGCTTATTCGCTTTTAACGCTTTACCAGCGTTGCCGCATTTGTTCTTGCCAAAAGTGCCTAAATTTTTTAGATATTCGCGACGTTCACTTGTAACGTATTTATATGAGCTCCATTTAAAAAATACCTCCACATCACATTGTGGATCAGAGTTTTTCGAGTCTGTGGGATATTTTCATTTTTTGGTTAGTTTATATGGAAACATTTCAATTGTTTTTTACGAATTTTTCTAATCTATCTGTCAAAAGGAAAGAGTTGAATTTTAAGATGAAAAACGTTATAAAATTTTTTAGAATGTTTAAATGTTTTAGAACCACAGAGTGTTAAAAATGAAATTTAGCAAAAATAAATCATTTTTCAAAGAAAATTCCACAAACTACAACATCCTGTTGGCCCCTTCCGAGCTTAACTGAAACTCACTCGCATTTTATTTACTCTATACCTGCTTATATATTGTTTGAGGGGTGGAGGAATTGAAGGAAGGGTATGAACAAACGTAATTTGGTCTTTGACAGATAGAAGAGATTGTTGGACATTTGGTAAATCCGGTTTTGACAACTTTTGATATATGATAAATAATTTTTTGAATGTAAAAGTCCGAAAGCAACTTTACACTTGCCGTTGTTGTCGTTTCTTACATCCAAAACATCCCTGGCCACATATTAAAAGTTATTTAGAAATATAACGTGAAAACCGGTAACTCGGGTATGATATTTTTAAATTTTAATTAAAATTTTCATTCTGGTATTCGGACATCCATTATTTGGAGTCTATTTAGATTTATAAACATTTAACAATTACAATTAAACAATTTTTAAGAAACACTAAAAACTAGTCAACTAAAAATGGAATGTTTTGTTGGTGCAAATAAGTATTTAGTATATTTATTAATTTTTGGTTTTTGAAATGAACGATTCCGTAATACGACACGCTTCAGTTATCTAAGATGGCGAGTAATGAATGCACCAAAAAGCAATCCTAAATTAAAGTCGTCAAAATAGTGATTTGGAGCCAAACGTGCTCTAGGAAAATGTCGCTCACTGAGTGTTAAAGTTTGAAGTTTAGTTATCGACAGCAATTTTTAAAATATCGACTGGAAAACTTGGATTCGGAGGTTTTTCGAGAAGGTGAATAAGATTATATTCCAGTTTCTAAGATGATAAGTAGAGAATTTTTGGTTACAGTTAAGTGGTTAGTTATAATGACATTTAATCACTCGTCTCCAGAAAAAATCGGCAACTATGACGTGTCACTAACTTTTATTATTAATTTGATTTGGGCATATACCAATTAATACAATTTACTAACAAATATTTTTATTAGCCCTATGGCATATTAATTAGTTGAAGTTAGTTTTTATTCCGTTTTAAAATAGCGGTAAAATATATTTTACTTTAATTTATGCAAGCCAACGCTAATATTAATGTGAATGTGTTCATTTCTTCATTGACGATTGAAAAAGGGAGAAAAAACTAATAGTAAATTGCGTTTCGGAACAGGTCCAGTTTGGAAAGCCGAAAGAACGCTCTGTCGTACCGGTCGCGTACTTAGGATCGTCCTCACGGAGCACGGAACATCCGACCCAAAAAACGCGACAGGTACAGGATGGAAACAAAATTCCATATATATTTAAAACATCTAAATTTATTATTAATTACATTTATTATATATTACAATAATTAAACCACACACACACAAGTAAAATACCGCTTTTGATTGCTTTTTGCGCATTAATTACGGACCACCTTAGATGGCAAATTCAACAATTTATGCACTATATTGTAATTGTACTAATTGATTTTTTTAATTTATGTACCATGTACCATATCTTTGTTCCTTATTATTTTAATGTGAATGCTTAAAGAAAAAGAATTATAAAGGAATTATGTGGCATTCCGTGGGAATCAAGTGGAATTCAGAGGATGTCCGAAAATTTATCACTCGAAGAAAAATTTTGGTGTACACATAAAGATTTTTAATTACATTTTTCTATATCTTGAAGGTATATGTGTATAGAATAGAAAAAAATATTCCATTTTTTCTGTCATTAGCTCTTGATCTATTCTGGTTATTATATTTATTCTTATGATTTCACACATAACACACACACACACACATTAACTATTAAAACCAGTACTGCTCCACAAAAATATTATTTATTAAAAAAAAACTAAAACTAGAGACAAAACAAAATAAAATTTACACTTCTTTTGTTAGTGATCTATCCATCTATAAAAGCATGTGAAAACAAAAAGGTTGCAGTTTTACTTTAAACTCCTTTTCTTTATATATTCATTTTGAACGAAGGCTTTGATTTTTGGCCAGTCTTTATTGTCGAACAGTCCTGGATATTTTTCTTTCAGTGCTAAACATTCAAACTATTCGAGAAGTTGACATTTCTTTATATGTTTGGAAAAGAAATGAATGACTTTCTTTTTTTGTTCTGCAGTCCATGGCACTAAGATCCTTTTTTGTGTGGTAGTGGTAGCCGGCTAGAACTACCAACAGCCTCGGATGGATTACTTTCTATGGTTTGACCTAAAAAATTGATACTAGTTCTAGGTTGGATAAGATTATTTTCTTTTGTATCATCAATTTCATCATCTTCTTCGTTATATTGTGCTACATTTTTTGTAGCTTGTATCAAAATATTAAAATTTTCGGACTTGAGCGATTCAAGCAAATTTTTTATTGATGGTTTTATATTCTTAATTTCTTACAATAGTCTTGCCAATTCCCTCATTTTAACTCTTGTAGTACCTGTTTCGAAAAGTACAAATAGCACCTTTAGCGACCATTGATATTCCGTCTGGTCGCATTCTGGGTAAAACTTCGTCCTTTAATTTTTTCGTCTATATCTACCAAGATTCTCAAGAAGCATATTTTGTCCAAACAAAAAAAAAACATGCTTCTACTTGTTAGTGAAGTCGAGATTCTGGAAAAACTTTGTCTATTATTGATATTTTAAAATTGTTTTAATTTTTATTAATTTAAAATTCCTAATATTTCGTTTCTAGTAGCACTTTCCATATATGATTGGTTACGATCTGAAAGTATCCAAAAAAAAAGATTTTTATTTTAAAAATATTGCTTCTGAAACACAAGAAATAAGAAACTCTTTTGGAATCTGCTATAAAAAATGTATGTCTGTATTTAAAAATAATAAAGTTGAAGATGGTGCTGGTGGAGAAGGAATGTTGGATCTGAAATTAATTAAATTATTTTGTATATAGAAAAACGTTACTGTAATAACGTGAAATTTGGACTGAGGTGGCTTTAACACAAGCAAATTATAACAAAAAATGTTCAGTTTTTCACAGCTATTGAATGATTTATGACAGCTGTTTCGGGAACACCGTGTCTTTATCAAATACAAAATCTGACAATATTCTCGCATTAAATGTAAGCATAGTAATAGATTTTTAATTACCGTTGTAGAGTTACAAATTTAAATTTAACAATGGAGTCATTAAGTAATAGATTCGAATATCTCATTTTGCTAAGTTCCATAGTTTCAAACAAATTTAGTTTTTGCTTTTTGATTGATTATGTAAAATATTAAAATTATCATCAAACTTGTGCATTTTCGAATTTATTTAACTATGCCATTAACTTAAATTCAGAAATGCACAAGCTTGACGATAATATATATATATATATATATATATATATATATATATATATATATATATATATATATATATATATATATATATATATATATTCTCACGTATTGATTCACGGATGGAAAAATGTGATGACACTATATTCCGGGATATCATCCGTTCGCTCGTTGAACTCCGACTGGAATCCTGCAGACGTTCCGCCAAAATCTCACTTGGCATCTTCAATGCTCGCGCTCCGAAAACACTTCGAACACTGGGGGGTTCTCGGCGGTGCATGCGGTATTTATACTCTGCGCCGGAGATGGTAACGGTGCTGCTTGTGCGTGGGGGGAGGTGGCTCCGCCCCCTGAATTGTCGCGTTGTTAATTTCGCCCGATCGTAGTTGCGATGTCCCCGTTGGCTGCTGCGCATCGCTCTGCTGTTTGATTATCGTTCTCCACGTGTTGGATAAATGCAGAGCGTCGTCTCTCGTATTGAGGTGTCCGGACTTTTCTATTTCGATGGCCTCTCGTATAATCCTAGTCCTAAAATCAGGAATATTAGGTATTTGTTTGCAAATGCCGAAATCAATTTTATGGCCTGTCTGATGTTGGTGCTGAAACAAAGCAGATGTTGTTTGTTTGTTTCTTATGGCTAAACGATGTTCCTCGAGCCTGGCTGAAATCCTTCTGTTGGTCTGTCCCACATACGTCAGGCTGCACGATCCGCATGCTACACTGTAGACTCCTTGGTTTTCCAGAGTAATTTTTTGTTTTGGGTTTCTTAGTATTGCTCCGATGGTATGGACAGGTTTGTATGCCGTTGATATGTCGTGTTTCCGTAATATTCGGCCGATTTTGTCAGTAACCCCCTTGATGTATGGCAGGACAGCGATCGATCTTCGTTGGGTCTCGTCCTGCACACTCTGCTGCGGGTGTTGTTGTTTACTGATTGCCTTGCTGATGGTGCGCCTTTGGTATCCGTTTTGTCGAAGACAGGTACTAATTTTCTTCAGTTCTTTATCTCTGTTCCTCTCGTTTGTGAGCCTGAAGGACCGAGCAATTAATGTATTTGCCACTGCCTGTATCTGTGATGGGTGGTGATGAGATTTAGCGTTCAGATATCTATTAGTGTGTGTTGGTTTTCTATAGACAGTGTGTTCCAAGTGTCCATCTTCGGTCCTTCTGATGTGCACATCTAGAAAGGGCAGACTGTTATCCTCTTCAAGTTCTATTGTAAATTGAATCCTTGGGTGAATGGAATTCAGATAATCTAGGAATTTCAAAAGCTCCTCCTTGCCAAAAGGCCATACAACAAATACATCATCAACGTATCTTGTAGATAGTTTTGGCTTCAGATTTGCCTTCTCTATTGCTTTCTTTTCGAAGTAAATCATGAAGAGGTTGGCAATCACAGGTGAGAGAGATGATCCCATTGCTGCTCCATCTATTTGTCGGTAAATTTTCCCGTTGTACATAAAGTAAAGTTTTTCAGGCAATGTCTTGACAGATCCATTATATATGGCGGAAGATCTTCGTTTTCTTCTATAAGCAAGAGTGCCTCTTCTACTGGAATACTCGGGTAGAGGGATTTGACATAGAAACTTGCCATAATGTCGTCCTTGTCCATCCTGAGAGAACCTAAAATCTGAGTGAAATGTTCTGAGTTTTTAACATAGGAATCTGCCTTTTCCACTATAGGCTGAAGTGCACTGGCCAGATGTTTTTCCAGCTTGCATAATGGTGAGTTAAAGGCGCTTACGATTGGACGCAGGGGAACCCCGTCCTTATGGATCTTTGGGAGCCCGTAGAATTTTGGGCAACGACTCGATTTTTCCCTCGGAATAAGTTTCTTCTTTGTATCCTCATTTATTGATGAATCGAGAATTTTGGACTTAGTTGTTTTTTCCAAATATGTCGTGGGATCTCTGGTGACTAGTTTGTATATTGGGTCGTTCAAAATATCCTCCAATTTTGCATTATAATCCGACGTATTCATGACGACAGTGGCATTTCCTTTGTCTGCTGGCATTATTAGAATGTTTTCGTTGTTGTTTAGATTCCTTAAGGCTTGCATTTCTTCTCTGCTTAAGTTTGGTTGCGGTGGTTTTGACTGTCTTAAGACTCTGGCGACATCTTGCCTAATTAACTCCGCATCTTGTTCGTCTATGGTGGAAAGACTTGCTTCGACGTTGGAAACGATCTCTTCGACGGGTACCCTTTTTGGAGCTATTGCATAGTTAAATCCCTTATTCAGAACGCTGACTTCTGTATCGGAAAGATGGTATGCTGAAATATTATGAACTGTACTGCTTCGGTTTGTATTTGACACTTGTCCTGATTTTTTGGAATTGATCTGAAGGATTTCTAATTTCTTCCACAGTTTTTTTGACGTGATGTCCTTGTCTTTCTCAGTGCGCCATGATGTTAGTAATTCTATGCGGTCCCACAGCAACTGATGGATCTTGTTGCTCAGTTTCAGGTGGAGTCTGAAAAGTTGTAGCTCAGTCTCACTAATTTCGTACCGGGTCCGCCTGATCTGGTCTTGGAGTAGGGCCTTGCTAGCTTTGTCCAGGATAGCTTGTGTCTTTCTGGTGCGTGTGTGATAAGACAACCTTGTAAATGTTGGCAGCAAGGTCTGGTTGCGGCAGCTTTTAAGAAAATTCAAGTTGCACAGCGAAATAACCCTCCTTTGTCTTAGTTTTTCATAACACTTGGTGGCTGTAAAGGTCTCCTTCCCGTAAAGGTGTATGATATTCTCACGTATTGATTGATTGTCCATCCTGAGAGAACCTAAAATCTGAGTGAAATGTTCTGAGTTTTTAACATAGGAATCTGCCTTTTCCACTATAGGCTGAAGTGCACTGGCCAGATGTTTTTCCAGCACACTAATAGACATCTGAACGCTAAATCTCATCACCACCCATCACAGATACAGGCAGTGGCAAATACATTAATTGCTCGGTCCTTCAGGCTCACAAACGAGAGGAACAGAGACAAAGAACTGAAGAAAATTAGTACCTGTCTTCGACAAAACGGATACCAAAGGCGCACCATCAGCAAGGCAATCAGTAAACAACAACACCCGCAGCAGAGTGTGCAGGACGAGACCCAACGAAGATCGATCGCTGTCCTGCCATACATCAAGGGGGTTACTGACAAAATCGGCCGAATATTACGGAAACACGACATATCAACGGCATACAAACCTGTCCATACCATCGGAGCAATACTAAGAAACCCAAAACAAAAAATTACTCTGGAAAACCAAGGAGTATACAGTGTAGCATGCGGATCGTGCAGCCTGACGTATGTGGGACAGACCAACAGAAGGATTTCAGCCAGGCTCGAGGAACATCGTTTAGCCATAATAAACAAACAAACAACATCTGCTTTGCTTCATCACCAACATCAGACAGGCCATAAAATTGATTTCGGCACTTGCAAACAAATAGCTAATATTCCTGATTTTAGGACTATATATATATATATATATATATATATATATATATATATATATATATATATATATATATATACAAAACGGTAGTCGTGACCGGCTAGTTGAACAACAAATTTTAGTTAATTGGGGTATCGGTATATATATATATATATATATATATATATATATATATATATATATATATATATATATATATATATATATATATATATATATATATATATATATATATATATATATATATATATATGATGACACTATATTCCGCGATATCATCCGTTCGCTCGTTGAACTCCGACTGGAATCCTGCAAATCTTGCATCCGACTGGAATCCTGCAGACGTTTCGCCAAAATATCACTTGGCATCTTCAATGCTCGCGCTCCGAAAACACTTCGAACACTCATATATATATATATATATATATATATATATATATATATATATATATATATATATATATATATATATATATATATATATATATATATATATATATATATATATATATATATATATATATATATATATATATATATAAAATATATACAAAAAAATTTCAAAAATATTGAATTTCTGCATCTTTAACATTTTCTTTAAAAATGGTTTTCAATCATGTGTAACACATTTAAGTTTGATCAAGATAAATGCAGAACGATAAGAAAAATATTATTTCAGGATAATAAGCTTTGATATTGCTATTCAATTTCAAAACATGAGTGGACCCCAACAGTGTTTATGAAATGAAGTCAGTAAAATTTTCATACGTACCTTTAAAAATTATTTACTTTTTTAACGTAACAAACAAAAATAAAATACCGAAGAACCAAAGAAAATACACAGAATTTTACAATAATCAAATAATCTGCCGTTTTGTTGCACATACCTCTTCTCAACATTGTTTCAGAGGACTGTCTTTTGCGGAATAATACTGTTAAGAGTTTCTTTAACACGTTCTCCTAATTCTCCCACGTTTCTATAGGACCTAATGTGTACTTAATTTTTGAGGTGACTCCATAGAAAGTATTCAACGGGTGTTATATCTAGGGATCTCACAGGCCATCTGAGTGGTCCCGGATGGCCTATTCATTTGTTGGGAAATTCTGCATTTGAAAAGTGTATCACGGTCTGTGCATTGTGTGGCAGTGCGCCGTCTTGTTTAAACGCCTTTATTGCAGAGCCGCTAGCGAAAGGTTCATAAGATTTTCTGTTACGTTTTTTTGTATAAGGTTTAAACATTGTTTAAATTATTGTAGAGAAAACATGGTCCAATTTTGTGGGTACCCAAAATACCAAACCCAGCGTTAAATCACTCGATGTCTAACTCCCAGCAATGAATTTGCATCTGCCCAAAATACAGTTTTCTCACGATTAAAGAGTAAATTGAGAAATCGGCACCGATTAGATCAAAGGACTTTAAAGAAAAAATTTAGGATTTCATTATGTTTCTGAATAAACCAGTGGCACAATATCATTCGCTTAACAGTATCGCCATCCTGAAGTCCCTGACAAAGCCGTTTGCGATAAGGATATCCATGGCGCTTTAAAATAGTATTCACTGTTGACCGAGCAACGCCTGCCGCCTCTTCAATACGACCTGCCTCAACCACGCTTGGTAAGACCCAATTTTCTTTATTTTCATGTAGAAGTTTGTTCCTTTTTACCTTAGCAAACTGCCGTAGCTGACAAGCCTGTCTTTCAAACGACTAAACATAGCCCTACTCGGATGACGTTTTTCCGGATATTTATTTGAATTCATTTCTTCGACTTTTTCTTGGTTTCTGCGACAGAAAATAGAACACTTCACGCGAGAAACGCTGGTATGACCAACTTGATGGAAAATGAACTTAGCGATATCAAAATTAAATCTAAATCAATCTAAATTAAATCTAAATCTTGACCAAACACACACTTTTTTAAAGAAGATTTCGAAAATGTAGAAATTCAAAATATCTCGCCCTTAAGAAAAAAAAATTTTAGCATCGCCGTATCCTTTTATGCATATCCTGAAAATATGAACAATGCGCACCCTGTATAAAGGTAAACAAAAAGTTACGATTTTAGTAATTGTTGATATTCCCTAAACGACACGATGCCTTTAATAGTAGCAATTCTTAAATTGTCTGCGCAGACTTGAGGATTGATGTGTGCGTTGTGCAATTCCGCGATTTGGGTGGAACTTGCTGCTGCAGGATCTCCACTCGTATTCAGTTGTCCCATCCAAAATTCGTTTCCTGGCAAGCTGTTACCATCCCAAGCATACGAAACCACCAAAAGCTTACCTAAGGCAAATTGCCTGCTTCAAAACTCAAAACGGTAGAAACAAATTACTTATTTCAACTTGTTTGAAAGAAGTTCATGCAGTTTTCGTTATTCTCTTTTTTTTACCTTCGTGTTCTCCCCTAAGTTTCTCGTGGGGTTCTCTGTTAAGTTTGTGTATCTTTATCTTTTGAAGCGGAGCAAAATTTACTGGCACGCTGTTTTGGATTTTGTCCTTATAAGAAGTGGAGCAGTTCATGTATGAAAAGCATATATCGCTGATGCTTCTCAATTGATTTCTAAGCCACCTGAAAAGAGTAATATAGAAATAAATAGGGACGCGATTAAACAGGTTTCCAATTACATTTTTTTGTAAACAAAATGAGACTTAGTAATTTTAATGTTTTTTAAAGATATTCTCAAACATACCTTTCCCACGAGCAACAATTATACTTTTTAGCAAACCTTGTATTCAACAGACCAAATTTGTGAAACAAATTCTTAAATCTATTTGTCTAAAGCCTGAACGCATAGCTCTAAAATCTCTAAATTCTAATTCAGACACAGTAATTGTAAACGCAGATTTTAGGAAGGCAACGGTAGTCACGGAGACAATTCACTTTTAGAAAAAAAAAACAAGATATTTCTATCGTCAACTTAAAAATGATCCTACGTCATCTAGGGAACGCAACCTTAAATTTGCTATTAAAGTTTCTTCTGTCAACTGTCATCCTGCACGAGTCTCAAATTTCTCGTTTCTACGTACTACAATTCTAGACCTATTATTAGCGTCATTGGGTCTCCAACTTATTCTCCAGCAAAATCCTATATTAAAACCCTTTACAGGAAACACTGATAGTTTCGTAATTAATTCCGTTCACTTCAGAAACAGCGATGGGTTCTTCATCATCAAACTGTTAAACAGAAAGCGTACGGCACCTTGGCTCTACATTTAAAATTATGGAAACTCTACGTTTTGTTATTTGGCCTAGTCGTCAAGAACCTCTCCAAGATTTTTTTAGCCATTTAAACTCTATAAACCCTGTCACGCGTTTTATCATTGAATTATAAATTAATAGTAGTTATCATTGTCCGTTAACAACTCTCTTGTTTACAGGCCCTAAAACTAGCTCAAGGCAAAATTAAAATATCTGCTCTTCACTCCTATTATTTCGACAATGTTCATCTCTCTTTTAGCTCTGCCCCAATTGGACGTCAGCAACTTTGATTTATCAACAACCGAAGCAGCAGTAATCCAGAAGATTTGTAAATATTATTGCAATGAGGGAACTGTGGCAAACTCTGCAATAAATTACAAATCAACCAGAATAAATCTCTATGAGTTACATTATTGAAAGAAAGTTTGGCCAATTTCTAGTGTGCTTAAAATTGAGGAATCTAAATTAGTCTATAAAATTATTAATAATTTGAAAAAATAAAATACTAATATTATTTACATCAGTTTTGGATACTACATAAGCTTCATTAGTCCAGGTTTCACCAAGATAAAAAAGTTTGTTCTGTTCTCTGCCATACTGTATATTTGTCTTCAAATTGGGTTTCGAAGGTTGCCAGGGAAATTCTGATTTTTGAGGCCTCAGCTTTACACAGTTTACTACTTTTATTAAGTGTGTCATATACCTATTTCAAATACTTTGCGATTTATTTTAACGTTTCGAATATTTACTCCTTCTTCTGTCTAAGACTATTGCTAAACATTAACTGACCATTTTTACCTGCCACTTATACCTGCCTGAGTAAATAAATATATAAAATTTATTGTGGTGTCAGTGAATTAAAAAAGAAGTATGGATTTTCCTGAAACTGAATTACGGAAAAAGATAATTTGTTAACAGAACAACTTTATAAGGCGAACTACCCCAATAGACGTATACCAACTAGATAATCTCTTCAATGTTTAATGGAACAGTTTGATGTTAGTAGTAGTATTGAATATGAAAAACGGAAAGTACTATACTGAAATGCTACCAGCAAAACGAAATGGAAATTTTACTCCAAGTTCAAAATAATCCCCGTCAAGTAGCTATTTTATGCGATACATCAAAATCTGCAGTTGCACTACTTCACTACTAGAAAAAACAAATACCATCCATTCTATATGGAACCACACCAAGAACTTCTAGAGCGTGATGTTGAACAAATGGTAAACTTCTTTTTCAAGATGTGTCAACAAAATGGAACTCTTCCGTATTACAGTCTTCCCTCAATCATGTGAGTGAACACCTCTCTATTTCTGTGCATGTATATGTTAAAAATCGTATTTATGTTAGTCCCCCTACAACAACAGAAGATATGGAAAATAGAACAGTTTATGCTAAGGGTCGTCCGAAAAATATACGAAAAACACTAAACATGTGTATCCAAGTAGAAGGGCATACTGTTCAACATTTATTGCGCCATAATAATAATTAAAAATAAGTTCGTGTGTAGTAATAGGTGTTTATTTCAATATGGCCGGTATTTTCACCAAATGCTAATCATAGTTTGTTGTTTTATCTAAGGCACAAAAATCTTGACTGAGCCCTATTGGCTAATAAATCGCAAAGTATTCAAAGATGGTATATGAATTACTTAATGTAAGTTTTTGTAAGGACTTTCAGAAAAAAGAATAATACTCATGGTGTGCCATTTTAGAAAATTAAGATTTTTCAATTTTAAATGATCTAAATATAATTGTTTATTTTGAGTACACTGTAGCATCTAATTCAAATTCCGTTACATATATCTTCTACATCATCTTCGAATAATGATGATATCAATTTTAAAAGGAATGCAAAACAAAATTTTAAAAATAGGATGTTTCATTTTAAAAAAATGTATATTTTATTCATCACGCCTTTTTGAGCCACCCTGCACACTTTAAAATAATTTTAAATTGTACCTCCAACTATAACTATATAAATGTATTTATAACATACGGTGTATATTTTTCCTTTGTTATCTTTTAACCAGCGGGATGAACTAGCATCTTTTCATCCTCTTTTTTGCCAATATTTAAGACCAAATTAGCATTTCGTGTGAATGATTGTACATTGTTTTTCGAAGTAAAATATTTATTATTATTTGTATTATTTGGTTAACAATTGTGCTAGAGTCCATACAGGAATCAATGTTATTTTGAAAAAATATAACCCTTTTACCTCTAGTTAGTCACAACATGTTTGACTTGGGCTCATTGAGTATTAGTTTTGGTTACAGCGACTGAACTAAGCCAAATATATTTTTTTGTTGTGGCAGGGAAGCGGATGAAATGGTGCTTAACGCGCTTATATTTAAACTGAAAATAATAATAATAGAAATAAAAATAATGTGAGGATTTAACGATCTATGGCTATAATCGGCACCGAAATTGAGCGGGATTTGCTATTTTGTATCTCCACACTTTTCTTAAAATTTGGCGACTAAAGTCTAAATAGAACACTCACCCCACTCGTCTAACAAATATTTCCATAAACAGAAAATCCTGATAAGGAGTCGTTCTCCAAACGCCGAGTCCGAATCCCACCACGTGGATGTACGCCATTTTGTTCTCGGCTTTTGCCCTGGCACTAGCTTCGATTAGCAGGGTGTCGATAGATAAAGCAAGTCGTCTTCCGTAGACCATCTTGTTGAAATAGACGCCATGTCTAATCTCCTTAAACACAGCTTTGTCTGTGAGCAGGTCTTCCATTTCATCAAACGCGAGACAGTCATGTTCGTAGAAATTCATAAATAATCCTAACTCGAAACAAGTATGTTAAACATTGTAAGTTAAATCAATTTTACTATCACTACCTCTCATGGTGGGTACGAAACATTTTCCGTATCCGTTTGCTTGGGTATTCTGCTTGGCGTTGACGATGATGTCTTGGTATTCCATTACTCCGTACTTCTCGAACCTGGCTCCTATTAGTCCAATTATGATTCCGTCGTTTTCTACGTTGTGATTCGCAGGCTCTCCCTCATTGTCCCGATTCCCGTTGTTTATGAAGCAAGTGAAGGAAGATACCGATAGGAGCGCGGACAACTTCATTTCGTCGTAAGAAAGGCAATTTTCCAACACCAAAGGAGGTTTTTCAGACCGGGTTCCTTTAAAAGACGCAACAAAACGTAGTACAAGTGTTGGAAGTCATTTATGATTACAAATTTCCAAGGCGTTTGTCACCATTCTTTTTGAATCACCCTATATATATAAGAATAGGCACAACAAACTGGCAAAATTTAAAAAAACTTTTATTGTCTTAAAAGAGTAGTTTCTGGAGTATTTCATATTTTTTATCAAAAATGTCAGACTGTGAAATGTAATAGGTTTACTAGGCTATCATACTAATTTCAATCAAAACAGTTATTCTCTGCACAGTACGGGCAAAAACGTTTATATTTAAAAAATTGCCTAAAGCAGGTGTAGGACAGTTTTTTTGACTCAGAATTGAATTTCGAACTTACTAAAATGAAAAATTACAGGGTTTTCCATTTGAGAAAAAATAATCTTCAATCAAAATTGTGTGCACTCTGTCTAGCTCTAGGAAATGTTCAAGGACGGCTGGGTGTATAAGATTTAATGTTCTTCGCAAGGTGTCGAAAAGGAGCGTTCGAAAATTTAGTCGATACCAGGTAATACTCAAAATTTTCGCCCAATCGCGGTATGGTACCCTGCACGTAGGATAACAGTTGTGAGTTTTAAATAGAGATAACAATAATTTCTTTTACTTTGTCGTGTGTACGCAAACATATTGGCCGCAAAAACACACGTACTTATTCCAAGTGGAGATATGAAATATAATTAAATATGAGAATAAAAATAAGAAATAAGAATTAAACTTCTACCCAAAAAAAAAGAGAACAAAAAAATGGAAATGCTACAATTGTTATATAATCTCCGGAAAAATAAATAAAATTCTAATAAGGATTTACTGAACTAATTTTAGTAGGTTAAATATTTTAATTTTCCAGCGGCAAAGGCCTATCGGTCCCTTGTAATTACCGCTTGCCGTTTTTACAGTGGCAACACGTGTGCCACCATCTGTTCCAGGATGCCATTTTAATACTCTACCGAGCCACCATTTCAAAGGTGGTGCAGTATCACTCTCAAGAAGTTGCCATCTGGGTATGATTTTTTTGAGTTTAGAGGCTCGAGAGTTAAGAAGTCATTGGGATCAGAGGACTGAGCGATTAAGCGGCGCGAATTTAAAGCGGCCTCTATTTGGAAAGCATTTTCTCGATGGTCAGTCTCTGCTCACCGACAACATTTTGTGTAAAAAATGAATACAGTTAAAATGTTGACAACGGTATATGGTGAATCTATTTGGAGCAATGTTTATAAGTGGTGCTTCGCTCCGGACGCCCCATATATATTTATATATATATATATATATATATATATATATATATATATATATATATATATATATATATATATATATATATATATATATATATATATATATATATATATATATATATATATATATATATATATATATAATGACTAATGAATTTATTAATTTGATTATTGTTTTCTTACGGAACCAATTTGATCATTTTTCATAGGCATTTTTGAAAACAGGTAATGGGTTATATCTGTAAAGCCTTTATTTTACGAATTTATTATAACCCTTACTCGCATTAAGGTTGCTAATGTAATTGGGACACGCTGGTATACGTTTTCTTTAAAAACAGATTAAAATTTGAAGCACAAAAAAGTGAATAGGTATCAAGAGTGATTAAAAAATAGTTACATACTTTGTAGCTGTTTTACTTTAAATAAAAGGTGCTTCTTTATAAAGCTACTGAGTTGAAATTGTACTTAAAAAATATTATTTTAAATGAAAATATAATGTTTAATCTACTTTTAGGAACTAAATCGGGTGATTGTCACGATGACATAAACAATGAAAATTTTATTACATTAGTGGGGAAACAGTTATTGCCTAATTTGCCTCCAAAATCAGTTGTAATAAGTATTTAACTTCTTTAAAAACAGACCTTTTTTAGTACCCTAGTGTTTTCATGCATTATTTATATGCGTGTAAAATAAAAAAAAAACAACAAACATCGCACAATTAGTTTGTCTTATTAACGTGCAACAAATAAAGACGTCAACGTACTCTTTACTAAGTAATCGGACTCTATCTATTTATTTCAATTTTTACCAATGCTTTTAAGGAACGGACAATGTTATGTATATCCATTCGTTTAGCATACAAACCTATAGTTTCCCAATTTCCAGCTCCCTTGGTTCCGTCTAATAACATGTAGGAATCAGACTCATCGACAAATACTGCAGCCCTCTTTGTCAGCAAACGATCGACCAGCATTTTCAACGTACAGTTCTTGTAAAACTCCCGCTCTATATTTGATCCAAACTTTCGTTTGTGTTGAAGAAAATCTCCATACAGTCGTAAAGAATGTTCGTGTAGTATCGGATACGTGGAGTTGATGTTCCTTTGCAGAATTTGTACCGGTACCGTCTTAATCAAAGTTTCACATCGGACGGAGCTGATGGGAAATTCTAACGGAAACTTTGAGCTATTCTCGATAACTTCATTCAGCCTGGTTTGGAAAGGAGGGTTGAATTCAAACTCCTGCACCAAAGAAACTCCCGGTTCCGACCAAGATGGTTTTTTGTTTGGCCAATGGTATTTTTTGTTCGGCACCGTCATCTTAAGTTTCGTGGCAATCTCTAAAATCACAACCAATTTTTTACATCTAAATAGGTAAAAAAATCAAGAAATGTTAAAAACAAAAGTTGTTTGGATTTACTTTTACTTTTAAATTACTGCATTGGTATGTACACAGGAAGTTTGTATTATCGTAAAGTGAAAAAGCATCTCACAAAAAAGAATCATTAATATAAGAATATTTTGCGGAAAACGAATTTTAAAATTAAAGATGGCAATTACGCCCTCTGGTGGACAATTGAGAGCCTCAAAAAAAAATTTGGATTTTTTTTTGTTGATTTCTTTTTTTTTTCCAAATTTTTAAGGACATTCGTTTTCATAATACCATTCCACGTTTCTCTTACTTGGACACTTGCTGCAGCGAACGGCTAAAATATTTAACAAATTGATTTAAAAATCAGGTATTAGATTTCAAGATGCTTGCACACATCCTACACATTGTTTTCTTTTTTATTTTTGCAGTGAACATGGTGGGTCCAAAAGTAGATGTACCTTTTTTAAATGGAACACTAATTTTTCAATTCTGTGTTAAATTTCACCAGCAGCTTATGTAAGCATACCCTGTATCTCTTACTTTTTATGAGAAAAAGAAAAAAAAAATTTGATGAATAAAACCTAGGTAATTGATACTTTTTTATATGGAGACAACACGAGAACCCAAGAAGATTGTTATTTGCAACGCAAAATCACCAGAAAAAACCCATCACAGCCACCCACAGTGAGTAAAATTAAGAGAAAATGTATGGAAACAGACAGGGCATGTCAAAGAAATTATTGTATTAGGTTTTGAAACTACCTATCATTAACCTCTTTATAATATTCTAGCCGGTTTCTAAACCCACGCAAAACATTACTCGGAATATTTTCACTAATTTGCCTTATTTCGTATCTAATTATACACCTTAAATATTTTTTTTTTGTTTTTCTTTATACACCGTTGATTTTAAATATCCCTAGGTGATAACATCCAGTGGAGTAATATCTGTAGATCTTGCAGTCTAATTTATAAGGCAAAATACGTATGTATGTTGAATTCAATCTCCTACTGGCAATTTACTGTCCGGGAAATACTCTATTTAAATATTCGGAGGAGCGGAATTAAATCCATTTCTCTCTTCTAGCATATCAGCCTGATTTAGATTTGTTAAAGAAACTACGAAAGTAGGAATTTAGTAAATTTGAAGAATTTTTATGGAAAAAATAAGGTCCAGTAAATTTAATATTCAAAATCCCTGTCCAAACATTTATTTTTTGTGGTTTTCTCTCATCCATTGTTTATTTATCGTAGCATTTAATGAAAATGTGGCTTCATCACTGATTATGAATAAAAGGATTTAAGTTGCGTCATAGTTCACGAAACTGTAGTCTGCAGAGTCGGGATCATCTTCGTTCGGGTCCTGTAGTACCTAATGTAATCATGATGCTTTTCTTCTTTTAATACACGCAAAGCTGTTTATTGGGTAACATCATTATTTGAAGCTACTTCAGAAGATGCGCGATGGGGATTATCCTCAACTGCTAATAAAATATTTAATCTTACAATCCTTTGGACGACATGGTAGTAGATGAACTTTTATAGTCTCAATTATATCCATTTGAAATGTAGGTTGCCCAAACACGTATGTGCGCCGATTACTACAAATTACAGAATAAATAAGAACTGAAAGTTCAGATTTTCACGAAAATATATATTATGACATGACAATTGTTTCGACAACACCGTGTCTTTATCAAATGACAGGTTGATAATTGACAATTACATTTTTACTAAACAAATACCTTCAGAATATTAAGGCAACGTGCTATGCGTAAAGTTTTTATTACATTTTTTAAGGTACCAATATATTTAATAGCCTCAACTGCGATTGTTCGTGGATATAATTCCGATTTTTGCCGACTTTACGGACTGTTTCTATAAATTTTCTCTCAATTTTACTCACTGTGGATCTCATAATGGGTCTTTCTGGATATTTTGTATTTAAAAAAACTTCTTTTTGACTTCTCACTTTCTCTCCATATCCAATAAAAACGAAAATTTCATTTCTCTGCGTTTCATTTAGATGCGCCATATTCACTTTCTTTACTGACAGAAATGTAGTCGTGATAATTTAAACACTTTACTAGGTACTCACCTGTTCATTTCAAAAATAAACTTCTGTTTTTCATTCTTTCGCTCATAAAAAGTAAGGGAGGTATGCTTTATGAATTATGCGTGAAATTTGACACAGAATTATATATTATAAAAACATGGGTTTCATGTAAAAAAGGAACTTGGTGTCGACATCTACTTTGTGATCCACTCTGCATATTTACTGTTTACTTAAAAAAATTAGCAAGGAAAGATTATGATAGATGGATGGATTTATTCCGTATTGAGCCCTTCACTGTATTATTCCGACATACATTTGCATTTGTAATATTTGAAATTGAACTAGTACAAACGTGCATTTTTAATTGGGTCTACTGGCAGAATTCACAACTTAGAGGACATTCTTATAATGTGGCTTGAATCTAACAAAAGAAGTACTCCCTATGATACTACAGGTCAATTAAATGTTGGAAACGGCCATGTATCTATAAAGCCGATTTGTCGGTAAGTTGCCAATATATGTATGTGTGTTAAGTAGAATACAATTAATTATGTTTATCTTGGAGACCCGTAAGGTTTTACTTTAATGAATCTATAAGGGCACAACTACCAAACGAACATTTTTTTAAAACATAAATCTAAAAGATGCTCCAAATTGCAATAATATTTTTCGCGCCAGGTGTCCAATTGTGTGTATTAAACGACTTTGAAATACAAGCGAGTATGAACAAAATGAAGCCAAGTGCAAATTATTCCTAACGAATCCGCCAAACCTTAGATTAACGAGTAAATCACTTTCATCGTAAAACTATAGATAAAAAGTCATCAAAAACAGCGGAAAGTAACATTTAACCAAATTCGGCGCATTTTTACTCACAAGCATTGATTTCTGGTGTAGCAGAGACGAACTAACTAATATTTGTAATAGCTTTTTTAGATGTTTTTATCTGGTATTTCCCGCACTATTTTTCTAGGAATATCGTCGCAATTTTGCTTTATATCTGGCATAATAATCAGTGGGGAAATACATGAAGGACGATCGCGCAACTATATTGCGCCACCTAATATAATTGCCGTCGACAGAGTTGGACTGGTGCAAACATACATACGTTTTTCGCCCTATAAAATAGACGACGTATTAAGAATAGGTAGTGTATATTAATTAAGTAATAATAATGATATTTTAACATCAGCGTACTGCCGTATACATCTATATATAGGGTGTTGTTTAAAAAGACACATAACTTTACCTAGAATCAAATCAATGCGCTTGTTATTGAAAAATTAATGAATCGAATGTTTTCAAAATAAATATTTGAACAAGGATTAAAAGGACCTTGTCATATGTCTCACATGGCTCTATAAAGAAAATAAACCGAAACTATGCCAAGCTGTCATGTCATTTTCAGTCAAGAATTAGAGAATTCTTTTGTATTCCAAATTTCACTGCAATTTGTGACGCTATTGGGGAAATAGATGTTCCTAAAAATTTAGAAAAAAAAATTATTAAATAAATCGGCCCAGAAAAAATTCTGGAAATTATTTTGAGGTTAACCCATTTTGTCCCAGTGGTGCGTTAATGCACCACCTATTTTATGATTTTTTTTGTCACATCCAGGAAATATTTTTGCACATCCATTTAGAAATTTTATTTTTAACACTACTAAAGGCCATAAAACCGTAGAAATCGCTAATTTATGTGTAAAGAAAAGATCTTATATACGACCTCAAAAGTTAACAAAAGCGGTACATAAATTTGTATCACATTTTCAAGTAAATTCAAAATAGTAAAAAAAATATCTTGGATTTGTATTGCCATTTTTGTTAAGTCTATAGCATGTAGATTACATCGCAGAAAACTGCTACTACTATACTGATTATGCTTTATTTTTTGAAAATATTTATTGGTGCGCGAATGCACCACTGGTTTTATCTGTGAAACAAAACTTTGTTATTGCAAGTCTAGAAAAGTCAGCACATGTAGAATAAACATCCAACAATTAGCGTGTGAATGTTACAGTTTGTAAAATAAGGCATTTCCGAGTTATTTGCCTCAAAAGAACTTAGAGGTGGCTATGGAGGAGATCGTGATGGATGAGGACAATAACAATGAAAGTCGTAAGTATTATTTGGAACCAGCTGTATCAGCTGGTTCCCCAAACTCGAGTTACATACATCGAATGTTGCAGCTGTCCTTCAACAGTCATGTAATTTATCAACTACTGAACCTGAATGGGACTCATCAGATGATGAAACCCTGGAATTCAAAAGAAGACGTACGCTTTCTGCAAATGACAGGCTTGCTTCTAATATCAAATGGAAGAAAGGTCAGATTGATTATAGTCACACACCTATATCCGATGAATTTAGGTCATGTTAGTAACTAAAAAATAGGATTTTTGGAAAAACTCCGCTTTAAATATTTTTTTGATTACGAAGTGATTGATTTCATTTTAAATCTTACATTGCTTTGCGACTTTTAAAAACTGATAAAACAATTACTCAAAGAAATCTTGCACCTGCCATAGATGAAGTGCGATATGATAATCAAGGTCACCTCATTATTGTTCATGCTTTTAAAGCACGAAGGAGATGTAGAATCTGCCACAGCCACGCAATTTACGTTTGTAATAAGTGTAATGTGCATTTACATACTTCATGCTTTATAAAATATCACCAAAAATGAAACCGGATGTTACCAGTGGTGCGCTCACGCACCATAAAATATTATGCGTTTTTTTGTAACAAATCAGGTTCTATTTGGAAAACAATCTACTTTTAGTTGTTTTCTATCGAATTTGAACTTTCTTTTGTAAATTTATGTGTAAATTATATGTTACATCTTATGTGCCCCAAAACATTATTTAATGTTTTTTCACAGTGGTTCGTTTACGCACCAGTATTTTATTGTATGTTTTGAGTTTTTTTTTTGACACATGTAATGTGTTCTTAAGTGCAACAAAATAAATAATTTCAGAGCAAAAAAGTGTTTTTTTATGCTTGAGATAATATGGGTTAATGGATTTTTATAAAGTTGGAGTCATTATAAGGGCCTTTCCTAGGCTCTAAAATGTGCTATAAGTGAGATGATTGCGATTGAGTAGCCAGCCACCAGATGGCGTTACTAACATAATGGAAAATGAATAATTTTCTTTCGAACATTATTGAAACTAATTATTGATGACGACAAAACATAACAAATTTGATGGAAGAGAATTTATCCGCCGAAAAAAACTGTCCTTTCCTATCCAATGCTTTCGATAAGTCTGTTCTAAAAAATGAGAAAATCATGCTGGATATCCATCTTGTTGCAGCCACATATATATCCGGGCGAAAAACACATTTTTAAAGCAATAAAAACAGACACAGCGTTTTGTCAAATACTTTTCCGATTTGTCAAATTTCACAGCCTACAATAAAAGTGAACTCTTCTAATAACATCTGACGGCAAAAAATTATTTTTATGACAATCTCGATAGAAGATATGCTTTACCTGCATCGGGTGCATTTCCAAGGGTATTGGGGAAAGCTTGTTTTCACTACAAAGCAGTATCGAGTTGTTGTTAGGAAATAAAATACTCACAGTGAAACAAAAACTGGGCGTCCCTCCAAGTATGGTGGTTGAATCGTGATATCTGCAAGCTTACATTCGAAAAAATTTCAAGTCCTAACATAAATACGCTGCGGATATTAGGTGGTTACAATTCTCCCCCGACCTTGGAGGATGAAAAACCCCTACATTTCTGATATCCATAAAAAAGGCTCAAAAACATGATTCCTAAGGCTAAGTAGTTATTCCACAAATAAAAAGAATATATTTTAGGATTCTTAGAAATTTAATATTAAAGGCAAACAAGTTCTTTACTCTGAAAATAGCTCTAGAAAAGCGCACTCCAGGAAATGGAGATACACAGCTTATTATTTGATCAACATTAATAATGGCAGTCCAACAATACTACGCTGCAAGTTTCGGATGTCATTACGTAAATTCTTCAAAACAGCCAAAGGACTAAGACGATTTGTCAAATTTCCAAACCTAATGGCGGCCTATGTGGCGGGAAGAAAATGTTTTTATTTACTTACTACAACATACTTAATACTTAAAACGTTAATTAATAATAAACTTTACAATAATCATGACTAAACCTAATTTTTTATAAAATTACTGTGATAATAATCAATATTTGATAATAGATAAGAATCTCACCATGCAGTAAAAATGAATGTGGTATTGTAAAAACAAAGTAGTATAAATTAAGACAAACAATGAACTTTTATTTTAATAACCAACCAAAATTATTCCTCTTTAGGGTTATAAATTCTTTTGTCCATATTTTAGGCTAGGATAAAAACTTTGAAATGCGGTTTTCACTGAGTTGTTAGATTCAATAATAATCAATACGTGCAAATGTTTCAAATGTAAACGGAATATGACGTATGCGATCAATAATCGGAATCACTCTAATCCTGCGGCCAGAGATTGATTTAAAAAATCTCTACGGTGAAACTTTCGGACTAGTCCGAGTGAGAGTTTTTTCGGCAGTCGAAAGCACGTCTTGTTTATTAATTAAATTATATGCGAATTGTTGCACAGTAAATGCGACAAATATTAACAGCTCGTCGCGTTAAGATCAAACTCTTTAATTATTTTTAAATCATAACGAGATTTAAAATCTCGAAAACCTTTTCAAACGTCGGGTTGGATTGGGTAGAAAATAAAGACATGACTCAAACACAAAATTCTGATTTTGATGATATTTTGAATAACGTATACTTTTTGGGAGAATTTCGACAAAATCGCGGCCAAATATCCGAAATGTGTATGTGTGTATTCCAGTGTTCGAAGTGTTTTCGGAACGCGAGCATTGAATATGCCAAGTGAGGTCTTGGCGAAACGTCTGCAGGATTCTAGTCGGAGTTCAACAAACAAACGCATGATATAAAATAAAAAATCTACATAAAACTATGCAACTTTCACGACCATGATTCGTACTTTCTGAGTGAAGGGAGCAGGGAACCTGTACATAAGGTTATTCTATATAGATTTTTAGAATTGACTTTCCACTAGGGAGAGGCTCTTTTGCAGCTTTCAAGATTTCAAGATAATCCAAATCGTGCATCTTCTAAAGTACCTTCAACTGATGAACAGCTTTGCATTACTACCGCAGACCGCAGACTACAGTTTTATTAAATTATGATGGAAATGCACAACGGGCTGAAAAATCTTTAAAAGGAAAAAGGGTTGAATAACGGTCTTCCTGCAGCTTAAGATTGCAAGAAACACTTTGGTGATCTGTATCAATATTGTCACGTATGGATAAATTAGAGGTGACCAGTACATCAAGAAGCAAACTAGAGTTGCCAGTAACCCGGGTGGGCCCTGTAACTTCGAGATGCATGCTGAAGTTGTTGAGAGTATTTGAAAATCAAAAATAAGCGGGAGTATTAGTTTTTAAGTTAAGTTTTAGAATCAAGTCTGTTAAAAGTTGGACGTCCATAAACTGTTCCTTGAAACAACGTTTTCCCTTCGATCTTAATAGAAAACAATATTTGTTTTAAACCCCTCCACTACGATAACGTCCCACAATTCTATAACCATCAATGTTGCGACCGTTATTAGGTACGAGAGTTGAAACCCACAAATTCAAGTCCAGAATACAAAATAAATTGGGAAAAAAGATAGAACAAAGAGATCTTACATTTAAATGAGCAAAACACTAGCGTATACTAGACAACTAAACAACTAAATAAAAATAATACAACATTAGAAATAAGTCAATATAGCAAGACAGATGTAACATTACCAGTTTATAATCTCATTAAACAAATTCCAGAGAAAAGTAGGATTTATGAAGGTAACTCAGATATAATCGAATTTGTATGAAATAAACCATAAGCATACAGATAAAAAATAAAATAAAGCGATAAGTTTTTCTCCAGGTCTATACTAAATGCAAATAGGTTAGCACTAACGGAGTAATAAATACGTGGGGATGCTCAGGCAATATTTTGAAG